TACTGAGCCATCTCCCCAGCCCCAAAATGTTTGTTTTAAATTGCTTTAACTATCTTTACACGTACAGATGTGCACAGCATTACCATTCTCTTTCCAGACATTTCATTACCCCAGCGACTCTACCTGCTAGTCAACAGTGTCCCCTACTCCTCAGGCCCTGGCAGCCACCGATCGAGGTGTCCACTCTAGGCGCCGCTGCGCTGCATTTGCCCTTTTGCAGCTGGCTTCTTGGCACGGTGCCTTAGAGGTCATCAGTATCGCAGCATGTATCAGAATTTCATTCCTTTTTCGGTTGAATACTGCTTGGTTGCGTGGATGTGCGCACCACGGGTGGCTGATCCATTCCTTGGTGGGTTGGGATTGCATCTGTGGTTGTCGTGAACGTGATGGAATGGTGGCATGCACACAGGAGTCCCCTTTTCACCTTCGGGGTGTGTACTTCAACATGAAATTGTGAGCTGGATCTGGAATCCTAACTACTCCTTAAGCTGAGGTAGGGGATCACAGTTGGAGTCTGTGTTTCAAAAAAACCAAAAAGCACCGATTACAGTAATTTATGTTTCATTTACTGGGAAACTACTACTCTGTTTCCCAGTGGGATGAGCTATTCTGCTTTGCCGATAGGACATCTCCTGCTTGTCCAGCATTTCCTGGATTGTTAGCTACTTTCCTCCTTGTGATGTGCAGGTGTGCAGAGCAAGTGACAGTGTCTGCCCCTTTGTGATGCCTGCCATCAGTCATCGTGTATGTGCTTTGAAAGGTTAGCCAGGCTCTTCATGGTTCTTGCGGGGTTCTTTGTATTGGAGATGAAATCAGAGGGGGCTCAGCCTCTGAGCTACATCCCTTCCTGCCCCTTGTATTTTGAAGCAAGCTCTCGCTAAGTTTCCTAGGCTTGCCTGGAATGTGCACTCCTCCTGCCTCAGCCTCCTGAATTGCTAGGGTCACAAGTGAGTGCCACTGTGCCTGAGAGCAAGTCTTTTATCCTGGTGTGGAGGATCAAATCCAGGGCCTGTTCCCAAGCAAGGGGCAAGCCTTTTAATTTACCACCCATCTTTTAATTTAATTTTTAAATGTTGAGACAGGGTCTTAACTGAGTCGCTGAGTCTAGGATTCAACTTGTGGTCCCCTTGCCTCAGCCTTCTGAGTTCTGGGATTGTAGGCTTGCTCCAAACCTGGCTTCTTTCATCCATTTGAAAAATGTGCTGGTTTTTTGCTGTTAGGTTGGGGTGTTGCGGGTGTGTGTGTGTGTGTTACTACAGCATCGAACCCAGGGCCTAGGGCTGAGATGCATCACCACCAGCCTTTTTTAAAATTGTATTTTGAGACAGATTGTGCTGAGTCAGTAAATCGCCCACACTGGCTCCTCCGCGTCAGCCTGGGGGCTGAGGAATTACAGATACGGGCCACCACACCTTGGTCTTCCTGTGTCCAATAGCAGACCCTTAGCACATATGTGGTTTACAGTATTTTCTCCTGTGGATTCTTTTCACTGATTTGGTAGTGTTAATGTACTAAGTTGTGGTAAAGTTCAATTTGCTTTTTGTTTTTGTTGTTGTTGCCTGTGAGTTTGATGCCATATCCAAGGAATTATTGCCAAATCCAGGGTCGTGAAGATTTGTCCTTTGTGTTCTTACGACGGTTGTAAAGTTGGTAGCTTTTACCTTTAGGTCATGTTCCACTTAGTTAGCTTGTGAGTTAACGTAATCTGTGAGGCTGCGGCCCAGCTTGGTTCTTCTGCATGCGCATGTCCTCTTCCCAGCACCATCCGAGGAGGTTCTGCTCTCCCCAGACTGGGCTTGGAGCCCTTGCTGATTTAGTTGCCTGCACGGGCGTTGCTGGTCCGTGTGACTTGGCCTGTATTAACACTAACAGCACAGTCGTAACTAGCATACCTTTGGGGTAAGTTGGAGAGAGTCCAGCCGAGTTCTCCAGCTCAGGCTTTCGTTACAGTCCTACTGCCTCAGCCTCCCAAACGCTGGGAATACGGGTTTGTGCCACCACATACACAGAAGCTGTTTATCTTGGTGGTGCTGGGATTTCAGCTAGGGCGTTCTGCCACTGAGCTGCATCCCAGAGCCTCACCCCTCTAGGACAGGCTCTTAGTATAGAGTTCATTTTGGCTTTGTGATTGCTGCTTAGCTTAGGCTTTCCTCACACTTGAAGTCTTTCTGTCTTAGCTTCCAGAGTGCTGAAGCAGGTGCTATCTCATGGTTGTAGGCCATCCACCTTTTAAAATATGGTCACCCCATGTTACCCAGACTGGCCTCAAATTCACTGTCCCTATCCCTCAGCTTCCTGAGGGGCCAGAATCCTAGGCATGTGCTAAAACACTTCACCTAATTTTTTTTTTTTTTTTAATGTATTTAGTACAGGGTCTACAGGGTCCTAATACATAGATCGGACTCATAGTGATTCTCCTGTTTTCAGTCTCCCAAGTGCTGGGATTATAGGTGTGCGCACCATGCCCAGTCTAACACTTCACTTAAAAAGCTATTTTAAATGCTTTATTTTGCAAGACTAGGTTCTGAGGCAAGGGTTTCTCTGTGCTTGGCTAGCACTCAGGTGCAAGGCGGCACATACACTTTTTCTCTCCTTCTGGACACTGATTGTTCAGGGATCTGTCAGTACCAGAAGGGAACTTCCTTGAGTAGACAAGTCCATGGAAACCTGGAGCAGAAACTCAGCACTGAAGGCCTCAAAGCTTTAAGCTCAAGAGCAGGACAAGAATGATACTTTTACCACTGTTTTTCAGCATAGTACTGGAGGTTTTTGACAATAATTCAGCAAGAAAAGAAGAAACCAGAAAAATGGATTATATAATTGTATATGTAGAAAACCAGAGACAAAAGTAACAGGAATGGGAATGTGGCCAAGTGGTAGAGGATTTGCCTAGCATAGGCCTTGGGTTCAATCCCCAGCACATGAAAATTAAAATGTGCTGTCACCAGAAATTACAAAATTGTTTTTTCAGAGTGTTGTTAATGTACAGACATAAAGAAGATTTACGTTTATTTTTTTTTTCCTTAAGACAGTGTCTCCCTATGTAGTTCAAGTTGTCCTCAAACTTGCAGTGATCCTCCTGAGTTGGCTTCCAAAGTGCCAGTGTTTCAGGCATGTGGCCGTGCCTGATTTGTGTGTTGTTTTTGGTATCCCAACTTTGCTGGACCCTTCGTGTGGACCGCTGAACTAGCTGCAGCCCTCTGTTGCCTTGACCTTGTTCTTTCCTGGCAGGATGCCTTGCTAGACCGGTAGCCAGTGGAGCTGGTGCTGAGCTCATAATGCCTTGCTCGCTTGTGGTGGGAAGTGGTCTGGGAAAGGCCAACTCCAGAGCTCATGGTGTCTGCAGACATCGCTTGGTTCTTAGAGCAGGGACGCGGCTCTGGTGCTGGGCTGCGCCCTCCCTCCCACAGTGGCTGGGCCAGGCAGTTCTCCCGGAGTCAGGAAGCCTCCGGTGCTTGACCGGGGTGCACAAAGATGAGAATCTGCTGTGGGGGGCAGAAACATCACTGCATCTGGGTGCTGTTTGCCTGTTTCAGGCTCTCTGGGAAGAAGACTGAAAGCAGAGAAGCCAAGAAGGCTGAAGAACCAAAAATACGGAAGAAACCTGGGCCCAAGCCTGGGTGGAAGCAAAAGCTCCGGTGTGAGAGGTGAGGGGCTACCGAATGGGGTGGCCTGGGCTGCTGGGTGGCGCCTCCATGGTGTGCGCTCTCTTGCAGGGAGGAGCTGCCCGCCATCTACAAGTGTCCTTACCAGGGCTGCACGGCTGTGTACCGTGGGGCCGATGGCATGAAGGTGAGCTGCCGTGTGAGCGGGGGCCAGTACTGGTGCTGCCTGAGGACGCTTGTCTGCCTAGGCTAACAGACTCGGGCCGGCCACCGCTGGTGATGGGATGGGGAGCCAGCCTTCTGCTCTAGAGATGCTCCCTGTAGGCCCTGCAGCTTCTAAGTGAAACTATGGAATCAGTGGAGGCTGGGGTGCACTCGCCTGTGTGCCTGAGGTTCTGGGTTAGGCCACTGGGATGGCAGGGGGGCCTGGCGAGGAGTGGGGCCTGCCTGCCGTTGTGTGCAGGCGCCCAGCAGGCCCGGGATGTGGGCCCTGCTCCAGACACCACGGCCAGTGTCTCCTGCCTCTTTCCCCTGCAGAAGCACATCAAGGAGCATCATGAGGAGGTCCGGGAGAGGCCCTGTCCCCACCCTGGCTGCAACAAAGTGTTCATGATCGACCGCTACCTGCAACGCCACGTGAAACTTATCCACACAGGTGCCTGCTCTCCAGGGAGACCCCGAGGCCCAGCCCTGTGGGTGGCATTGGATGCTGGCATGGCCAGCCATGGGAACATCCACTCCAGCCACCCGCACCCTGCCTGAGGAGCTGTCAGGCAGCCTGAGGCTGTCTGGGCAGATGAGCTGCAGTGCTCCTAGCTCATGGGGGAGGTGTGTACTTGCATAGGTGACACCCAGCTGCCATGTGGTGGGCACTCTCCCTAGAGCAGTTTTTTTCTGCAAGATGTAATGGTTCAGACTGGTAGAATTCCTGGGATTTTTAAAAATAGCTGGAGCTGGGTGTGGTGACACAAGCTACAATCCCAGCACTCAGGAGGCTGGGGCAGGAAGATTCTTGTAATTTGGAGACCAGCCTGGTCACTACAGTGCAAGCTCAAGGCTAGCCTAAACTGCATAGCAAGATCCTATCTCAAAAAGATAGGGGAAAAAAGGGTTTAGTAGTCCACATCTATAATCCCAGGAGGATGAGGCAGGCAGATTGCTGTGAGGTCAAGGTCAGCCTGAACTTTCCAAGGCCCTTCTCAAAAAAACAAATCAAGGGGCCTGCGAAATAGCTCAGTGGATGAAGGCACTTCTTAAGTTAGGCAAGCACAGGATCATGCCAGTCCGGCCCCCAGGGCGGGCTTAGCTGGCCTGGACTCAGGCGTAGTGGCACACACCAGTGCTGGGGGCGGGCTGAAAACCCAAATCAAAGCAAAAATACTTTCCAGGCTGTTAAAAACGTGTGCATTGTACAAATTGTTCAGACACAGCATCCAGGCATCAGGGCCTCACTACTCTGCCATCACCCTGGAGGGCTTATTCCAGCTTAGATCTGCATGATTTTCCCTGGCGTGGGTGTGTTCAGCACAGTCCCACCTGTGCCGAGGCCACCTTCCTTGCACCCTTGTGCTATGTCCTCCCGGCAGCTGAGTCACCATGTTGACCCCAGTAGCTAGACTTCCTAAGTGACATACTGCTGTAGTCTTCTGTGCTGGGACTGACCCGCTTCTGCTGGATTATCTGTCTGGGACTTTCACAACAAAACCAGCTGTGTGACCTTTTCCTGTCACCCCATAATCCAGTTACTTCAAGTTTTTGCTCTCAGCATTCCTGCGTGTGTCCTGATGCAAGAATTTCTCTGGGTCAGGTCTTCAAGCCATGCTCACCAGACTAGTCATGGTCAGTCCGCTTTCTAGAGGTGACAGGACAGCATAAAGCGCGAGTGTGGACAGGTGTCTCAGGTGGCGCGGGTTGGTGCCTAGGGCGTGGCCCTAGATTTGCTCAGGGTAGGTGGTTGCTTTCTAACACGGAGAGCTCATTCCCCCATCCCTGAGTGGCCATGAAGTCTGAGCATCTGTGATCTCTATACCTTGCCCTTTGGGTTCTCTCAACTCAGTTGTTTTGGTTTTACCTTTACATTTACACCGAGAGAAAAGACCCAGCTATGTGGCGTTTTCAGTTGAGAAGTCTTTATTAATGAAATTGCTTGGGGCCTGGTCATAGCCCGCTTTGTGATGTCCTTTAGCCCAGCCCCTCCAGGGTGTCTGTTGAGTTCACGCCTTCTCTGTCCCCAGAGGTGCGCAACTACATCTGTGATGAGTGTGGGCAGACCTTCAAGCAGCGGAAGCACCTTCTCGTCCATCAGATGCGCCACTCGGGTGCCAAGCCGCTGCAGTAAGTGGGTGCCGGGCTCCGGGTGGGGGCACAGTAGCCTGCTTCCTCACTGCCTCTGCCCCGCAGGTGTGAAGTCTGTGGCTTCCAGTGCAGGCAGCGGGCGTCCCTCAAGTACCACATGACTAAGCACAAGGCCGAGACGGAGCTGGACTTTGCCTGTGACCAGTGCGGCCGGCGGTTCGAGAAAGCACACAATCTCAATGTGCATATGTCCATGGTCCACCCTCTGACACAGACCCAAGACAAGGCCCTGCCCTTGGAGGCAGAGCCACCGCCCAGGCCCCCCAGCCCTCCTGGGACCACAGAAGGCCAGGCAGTGAAGCCAGAGCCCACCTAAGGATCGCAGGTGGGGCTGCAGGCTGGCAGGCAGTGTGAACTCAGGTGGACGTGGGCGCTGCAGGTGTTTCACTGTTGTTTACTCTTCGGAGCTCAGGCTGCACTCTGGCGCAGGTAGGTGTGGCTGTGCTCCACGTCACCTTTCTGTCCTCTGCTTTGGGACCAGCTGTTTCTTTTCCTACAGTACTGGGCAACTTGGAGCCAGACACAGATGATGAGTAATCGACCCCTTTCCCCAATTAAAGCAATCAAGGAGGGTTGTAATCTACTTTGTAGTGCAACAGGAGCTCCTTGTGACGCTTGTCACAAATCGTCTCCAAAGGAGGTGGGGTGGGGTGCTGGGACGGGTCCAGTCAGAAGAGATGGGGTTCTTGGTACAGGTCCTCATCTGTGACAGCCTGCTGCCTGTGCAGAAGGGCACTCGTCACCTCGGGGTCACAGTCAGCACGGCCAGCCAGCAGCTGGGAAAGGAAAGGTGGCTGCTCAGCCCCTCAGCTGCCGGGCGGCAGGGGGCCCTGATGCATGTCTCGGCACAGGGGAGGGCACCTTGGTTACCTCCGCCATGCCTGAGAAACACTGTCCTGGGCACTGAGGTATTAACTGCAGCAGGAAGAGACGTGCTTCTCTTAGCAGTTCTACAGGGCTACCCTGGGGAGGAGACGGGCAGCCACAGGTCAGGCCCAGCACCTGCCTTCTTCGGCAGGCGCTGCCTTAGGGTGGGTCCTCACTTGCCTGTGGCCAGGGCTGGCCCTGCAGCTGCAGGCTTCTGTCAGTCAGGGGGGACACTGAGGTGGTCTCCCCTCCCACAAAGAGCTGGACCAGCCGGAGGTACATGTCGACAGCAACATGCAGGAAGCCTTCATCCCTGACACTGGCAGCCTCAGCAAAGTGGGGCAGGAGCCTAGGGACAGGGACCCATGACAAGATCAGGAGCAGCTGAGACTAAAGATGCCCACCTCCTGGTAGGACACGGTTGACAAGGACCAGCTGGATGCGCACCCTACCCAGGGCAAGCCCACACCCCTCAGAGCAGTTGGCAGGCCGTCACCTGTAGAAAGCGAAGGGCAGCAGCCTGGTGTGCTGATCCGGGGCCATGCGCAGGAGGTGGCCCAGCCTGGCATCTGCAAAGTGGGGGGGCGCAGGTCTGTGGCTGCTGCATGGAGGGGTGTCCCACACCGAGAGCCGCCCTTAATTACTGGGAAGGCGGGGTGCTGTTACACAGGGCTCTGGTCAGTTTACGTAACATGCTTGTGGCCCTGCCGCAGGGCAGGCTGCTGCTCTGGGCCTCGAGGTGCCCTGGGAGTTTGTGCAGAACAAGGAGGCACTCAATGTTCCCAGCTAAGCCACAGTTTAGAAACTTAGTGAGATGGAGCAAAAATGAGGCCCAAAGAGGGCTCTCTTCCTTTTTGCACTCCTCAAAGCCTCTCCTGAGGAGAGCGGCAGTCACAGTCCACACACCCTTCTATGTCAGAGCTCTGGTGGCATCTCACCTGCCTTGGTCAGCTGAAAAAGCCCCAGCCAGGGTAGCTTTCTCCTCTCCAGACACACGAGGACCCCAGCGCAGACCTCCATGGCCGTCAGAGAGTCAGCTGTGGCCTGTGTGTGGCCCACAGAAAGACAATTCGTGTTTGTGTGCCGTGGGAGTGAACCCAGACACTGAGCTGCGTCCTCTGGGCTCCCGTTCCTTTTAAGTAATTTTGTTTTGGACAGGCTCTTGCCAAGTTGCGCTGGCAGGACCTACACTTGGGATCCTCCTGCCCACACCTCCCAGCCTGCTAGGATTACAGGTATGCATCACCATGCCCACTTGTTCAAAGTCTAAAAGCTGGTGACAGCCTTCAGAAGGTGTCACACTGAGCTCTGGACGGAGAAGCATAGGGCCAAGGGCTGACCAGGTCCTTTAGGTGCACACACCCGGTCACTGTGCCCAGCTCTGAAATAGGACCTCAGGAGGGAGCCGGGCAGGGCACACATCCCGAGATGCCTGGGTGCAGGCAAGTGGGCCTGCCACAAAGCCCAGCAGCCTGACCTGCCCAGCAAGAAGCGAGGTTCACCTCAGCTGAGGCATCTGACTTACACTTGGGGTCAGGTGTGATGACAGCAGGCCGAGCAAGGAGAAGAAAAAGAAGGGCCCCAAGAGCTGTGGAGGAAACAAGCAGTGACTGTGAAGCCCGGCTCCCAGCCCAGGAAGCCCAACCCATCCTTGGGAGCCCCCACCCCAGGCTGCTTGGTGAAGGGGAGATCAAGCTTGCTGCTTGTGAGGAGAGCGCAAGAACACGTGACTGCCGCCGAGGGTGACCGCTGGGGCCCGTAAGCCCCGGTGCCTCACGCCACAGCCTGGCTTTCGCCACAAGAGCAACTGCTAAAATGTACATGCAGCAGCAGACCACAAGTGCTGATGGGCCTACATGCCGGGCTGTGTCCCAGCTCTGGGTTGGTGTGAGCTGGGCTAACACAGGGACCCTGTGCTGAGCAGTCGGGGTTACCCCCAGTTTGCTTTGCTTTGGTTCCCTCAGGAAGGCCTTCTGGCACGTGTTGCCCTGGGCTCCTTAGGCAGGATTTGGGTGCTGTATAGTGGGGCACCTGGGGGTCAGGGTGCAGGCTGGGATCCCTTCCTCGAGCCCACCATGTAGGTGGCAGGTGTCCACGGTGCTGCCTCAGAGCTTGAGCTGTGGTACCGAGTGGCCTCAGCATACGGGTCAGGGCCCTGACCCTGCACCAACAGCAGTGGCTCACCACTGGGTTCTGGTGGAGAGCTCAGCAGGCCACAGAGAGGGATACGAGGATGCCTGAGCCCCGCTCATAATTCACATGAGTGATGAGAACACAAGTGCACGCCTGTTCCAGGGAAGCAAAGCCCACTGAGAAGTTCTGGAGAAACATGCTGACTGAAAACTGGCCTGCGGGGGAAAGAGTGCCCACGCCTGACACGCCTTGCCTCCTCTTTCTCGTAGTCCAGCTGCTTCAGCACCCTCCTCACATCATCCTTCCTGACTCGCTGGACTGCAAAGTACAGTGCAGCAGCAGAGACCCAGGCTGGGCTGGGGGCAGGAGAAGTCGAGTCTGGGGAGAGAAAGCTGGGACACAGAACACGTCTTTGAGGGCCTTAAGGCCACATCAGAACAACCGACTCCTGTGCCTGGCCTGCCACTGCACCCGCACTCGTCGGTGCTGATAGTAAGAGGCTGTCCTTCCAGCAGAGAGCACAGAGGCGCCTCAAGACCCCTGGCTCTGCACGAGGGCTTGGCAGCAGGGCGGTGTCCTGCAGGGAGGACCTCGCTGGGGAGGCCAGCTGGGTCAGGTCTGACAGAACAGGACAGAGTGGTATGGTGCCCTGGGTGAAGTATGTAATAGGGTTCAGGGGTGTAAGAAACTTCAAGCAATCGTCTCTGTGGGGTTAGGATTGTCAGGCACAGCCTGCTCATCTTTCCCTTCGATTTGCTGAGGTGGTTTTAGGCACCTGACTCTTGGGGAGTCCCGCAGGCATGAGGGATTGAAGCGAGTCCCCAAGTAAGGCATTCTTGGTAGAGAAGGTCAAATAGCACTCACGGGACATTGCCACCACAGGGAAGGCGGGAGACTAGCACCCTGGCACTGATGGCACCTCCTGCACCCTTGGGTCAGACAGGAGTGCAGGATCAGCTGTGCTGGAGTGAGTGCTGCTGAAGTAGGCCTGCATCAGCATTCCTGAGCTGCCACCCAGACAGCCTGTCAGCCCAGTCCTCCGCTTTACAGACCTGGGGCTGGATCCCTGAACATCCATGCAAACAGCGCAGCCCCAGCAGCAGCCGGAGCTCCTGAGCGCCCTACCCCAGTGCCTACCTGTGGGCAAACTGCTGAGCTTCCCGCAGCCTCTGCAGTTCCTGTGGCAGTGTCACCTGGCCGGACTTTTGCCAACGGCCACACAGCACTGACTCCAGGCTTGACCACCATGACTTGGAGAAGAGAAGTCACTGGGAAAGGGGTCAGGGCAGCTCTCCCTGGGCCCAGCTCCAGCTCCCAAGACCAGGAAGGCCTGGGTGCGAGAGGCCATGCACAGCCCCGTCGGCAGGCCAGGGATCTCCCGAGGGCTCTGCACAGCTTACGTCCCACCGCTTTATGGCATTAGTGTCTTGCTGACCTCACTTGCGCCCCAAGATGATTCCATTGGGCAGTCTATTCCCCAGGACAGGAAGGAAGGGACCCACCAGACGCAACGCCCTGTGAACCTGCCGGGTGTCCGTGCACACCCCATACCCTATGGTGAGCTCACCCAGGCCCCATGCACATACTGTGGAGAGCAGGTGTCTTAAACACAGCCTTGGCTGACACCCACTTCCCACCCAGGGAAGGAGGCCCCTGGATGCGCCACAGTGGGGAGGGCAGGGCATCGGGGCCTGGGCCCAGTGTGGCAGACAGCACACGCAGCCACATGGCTGCTCCAGGAGCCGGTGAGGCCACAGCCATGTACATGACAGGCTCCGATAGCAAGGCCCACGGGCTCTGTGGTATCTGCAGTGAGGATGGAGGACCAAGCGCGGTGACGATGCGAGGGGTGGACATAGCCTCACTAAAGCACACATCACTGCTTCCCTGCTTCTCCTACACATGCTGTTGAATGACAGACAAGGAAACAAAATGGTCCCCAGTGCAGCACAGCCGGGCCTACCAGTGCTGAGGTCACCAGCAGAGGGCATCTGGTCTGGCACTGGGCCAGGGTGAGGTTGGCAGTCTGTGAGGGATCCAGGCTGCGTGAGCAGGTGTTCAGGAGCCCCTGTGGCCGGAAATGTGCATGCGCTCAGTGGTTCCCGTGCCAGGTACCTAGAGCAGCTGGGTAGTACCCCACAGGTCTCTGGGGATGCCCGCAGGATGCCAGGCAGATAGTTACCCTGAAGAAGTGGACGGTGATGTCATGGGTCAGGCTCAGGGCGCCACGGTGGGTGCAGAAGTTTCTCTGTAAAACATCAGCAAGGCTGTGAGGGAGAGCCCGGCAGGGCAAGGGTGAGGCCCGCAGCAGCCTGCGGGGCTCCCAGAGCTCTTGGCCTCCGCCCGGCCAGTGCTGCTAGCTCACGGCCTCCCCATCCACCTCTCTGGCCCCCACAGGGCCAGAAGCAGCCAGGAAGGACAGCTTCGTCATCTTTGCCTCTGCCCACCAAGCACTGCGCTTCTCACCTGAGCACACAGACTACCCATTCTGAGCGCTAGAAGAGCCTTCACGGAGAACGTAAAAGACTGGGTGAATTTTCTAGGCTTGTTTGGCCAGCTCAGCCTGCTGAGGGCGAAGCCTGTGTGGCATGTGGTGTCGGGGATTGAACCTCGGTCCCCTGCGCCTGCCTAAGCTTGCTTCTGCAGGAACTTTAAGCCACTGAGCCATCTTGCCAGCTCTTTTTTTTTTTTTTTTTTTTTCTTTTGGGTTAATTCAACCTATTCAAGTTTGTTTTTATTTATTTTTTCACTTAGGTATTTGGTACAGGGTCTCACTATGCAGCTCAGACTCATAGTGATCCTGTTTTCAGCCTCCCCAGTGCTGGGATTACAGGCGTGTGCCACCACACTCAGACTCGGTAGACAGCTCAGCAAACCCCGGGAGCAGGGCTGGCACTGCCAGTGGGGACTGGGCTTGACCTGTGACCTTAACCATCAGAGAATAAACGTGGCGCCGCTCCCGCCCTAGACACGCAGGTGCTTATCTAGGTGTTAGCGCGTCTCTTCCTCTGCTTTCTGGCCGCTTCTCAAGTGCTACTGCTGGGCTGGAGAGATAGCGGCACAAGCACCTGCTAGGCAAGCACCAGGTCCCGAGTTTGATTCCCAGTACGGAAAAGAGTCCTCTTCTCAAAAACAGACATAAAAGAAGGTCAACTAAGTTAGCCAGGGTGGTGGCAAGAGCCTGTAATCCCAGCACTGGAGAGGCTGAGGCAGGAAGACCATTGCAAGTTTGAGACCCACCAAGGCTGTGTGAGCTCAAGGTCAGCCGGAACTGCATAGTAAAAGCCTGCCTCAGAAAAAAGAAAAAAAGAAGGCAAGTGCTGCTTGCGTAGCTGGGCGTGCAGCCTGAGCTCCAGCTCTTGCCGTACTTGTGCTTTGGTTTTCCTTCTGTTTTCTTGGTGGTGGTGGTAATACTGAAAACTGAGCGCAGGACCTTTAATATTGAGCTACATCCTCAGCTCCTTTTTATATTTTGAGTCTTACTAAGTTACTCAAACTGGGCCAAAACCTAAGATTTTCCTGCATTGGCCTCCCAGAGTGCTGGGACTATAGGCGTACTCCCACCATGCCCTGCCAAACTTGTAGATTTTTTAAAACAGTAAAGCGTTCTCTATGTGCAGAAACTGCTTCTCGGAGCGCAGGGAGCTGACAAAAATCACCCCTGAAAGCGAAGACGGGAGCGGCACGTTTTATTCTCTGATGGTTGAGGTCATGGCGCAGGTGACACTGGCAGTTTCCACCGTGAAATGAAGCAGGGCTACTGGGTGGGCTGCCAGGTGGGTGGCACGTGAAACACATCAGAACTGGAGAACCAGTGGGTGGTGAAGCAAACGCCCCAAGGCCAATGCATCAAGACCCGAGGGCAACTGTGTAGCGTGTGGACCTGCACAAAGCCATCTCGGCCCAGCCAGCACTATGGCTTCCACCACCCTAGCAGGAGTGGGCGGGGGGTTCTAGGCACATGCTCGCAGCCCTCAGCCCTCTGGGCATCCTCCTCCAGGCTTCATCTCCCCAGGAGCCCACACTCAGACTTGGGGGTTCCCTCCCCACCCGGGGGCTCCCCTCGCAGCACCCACCAGCTCCGAGTTGACCAGGTGGAAGAACTCCTCACAGCTGGGTGCAGCAGACTCCTCAGCCTCCTCCCTCCAGAAGAGAACAGAGGCGGGCAGGCGGAGGAGCAGCCTAGGAGGGAAGGGCCACAGCAGCAGTGAGGCCAACGCACAGCCCGCGGCTCCCCAGCTCCCCAAGCCCCTCAGCCGCGTCCGCAGGGCCTACCCCCTGCCTAGGCCTTTTTCTAGTCATGTGGAGCCTGCCACAGGGACTCAAAGGGAGCTCCCCAGGGCCGGGGAGACGGCTCAGTAGAATAAGCACTTCCCTGGCAAACACAAGGGTCTGAGTTCCACCAAAAAAAAAAAAAAAGAGCTCCCCAAAGGCCTGGTTATGAGCCCCTTGGCAGGAGCAGCCCCACAGCCTCAGGAAGCCATCCCCGCACCTGCAGATCGACTCAGCTCATGCTCTAAAGAAAACCCGGCAGCGGTGCACATCTTTGAGCAGCTTTCCTGATTCTGACTTAGCTCCTTACAGTACGTGCTTCAACAGGAACTCTTGAGGACAAGTCGGAGAGCCTGCACTCGGAATACCTCTCCTGGCTCCAGGCCTGCTCCCGTGGGGGCCTCACGGAGACAGCACCCAGAGGTGGGGGGGGCGGGGCAGGGAAGCAGCCAAGCAGCGGTGGACTCCCAGGCGAGTGACCAGGCCTGCGAGCCACCGGGGGACAGTATGTGTGCCCCGAAGGCCTAATGCACTTTTAGTGGGACTTTTCTGGAGGTGGCTAGACCTAAAGCTTGTAATCCATGGTTTGATGCTGTGACTAAGGGCGCGTGATTGCTGGATGAGTCCATTGATTGGACTGGCCCTGCCCTAATCCTGGTGGACTGGATATAAGGGACAGAAGGAGGCGTGTACCTCTCGTTGCCTTTGCCATGGCATGCCTGCCATGCCCCTCTGCCAGCCACACTGCCTCAGAGCTAGCCGATCACCGACTGAAACCTCTACAAGCCATAAATTATATAAATCTTTCCTCCTTTAAGTCTGGGTATCAAGCATTTTGTCTCAGCAACAAGAAAAGTAACTGAGACGTACCGCTTGCACATGAGGACCTCTTGCTGTCTCCAGAGGCTGGTGGCCGCAGCTCTCCCACCTGCCAGGGCCTTGAGCCGTCTGTGGAACACTCGGAAGACAAAGTGTCCCTGAGAGACAGGACAGCTGAGGTTAAGGTCGGCAGCCATCTCCTAGAAGAGAGCAAGGCCAGACAGTCACAAGCCCAAGTTTGTCTTTTGTCCCCAAGAATGAAGACAGAAAGTCCTCGTGGATTAACACTGGCCACAGTCAGAGCCCCCAAGAGACAGGCTGGGGAGAGAGAGTGCCGTGGGAACTGTGTATGACAGCTGTTCTGCTTGGGAATCTTTAAATTATAAAAGTAACAGTGCAAGGAACGCTGTTAGCCAGACTCCTAGCCTTCACACCATCTGTCCCCTGCGGGGTGTGCGTAAGTGTGCATGCGCACGTGCACGTCCAGAGACGAGCCACAAACATGATTTGGATCCCCCCACTCTGTGGGCTCAGCCTCAGGCCTGGAGCATCAGCACGGCACAGCACCTTTGCCCAGAGTTGGGTGGGTGCTGAGCATGAAGCTTGTGTTCCCTTATCACCTTGGAACAATTCCACGAATTTTTTCATGACACCAATATTCTTTAAGAAAATGAGACTTTTAAATGCTAAAGTGGGGGACATCCAGGAAGATGGCAGAGTGGTAAGCAGCAGAGAAAGAGCCTCTCTGAGATCTGTCCAGAAGCTGCAATACAGCAAAATGAGGAAGCGATGAGGAGTGGGTCCCTGCGCCCAGGCGGGATCTGCAGCTAGGACGGAAGCCCATGAGGAGAGCGGGGAGAGAAATTCCAAGGCAGAAGAAGGCGGTGGGCAGCTCCTGCTCCCCAGTAGGGACTCACTGCATGGGAGGGACAGATGGACACACAGCAAGTGCTGGCAACGCCAGGGGCCTCCTCAGAGAAATGCAGCGGTGGAGGGGAGCAGTGGGCGCTGGGGGACTGGGTGTCCTCGGGAGGTGCCTGGCCACAAGCCGACCTGGAGTGGGGTCGGCTGAGCTCGGAACGCCACACAACTGGGGCTCCACCTGTGGCTCCCAGCTAAGTTCAGGCGTGCAGAGGTGCACTGCCTGACGCAGGCAGGCAGCCGGTCCCAGCCTCGAGGCCGGAAACCCACCTGAATTTCAGGGGATAAAAGGTGCAGGCTCACTGCCATTATCCAGCGCCCCACCATAAAGCCACTGCTGGCGTGCTGGGATAAGTCAGCACGGGTCTGGACCGCCTCCACTTGCCGTCTACCAGTGACAGCAGAGACAAACCAGGCAATGGACTTGCCCCTCTCCTTGTTTGCTTCCTCCTTTATCTTCTTTGCATGACTGTTAACATGGTTTCTAGTTTTTTGTGGCTGTTTTGTTCCGATCTTCCTTTCATTTCTTCCTTCTTTCCATGGTCTGTATCAGTTTCCCCGTTTACATGACCCTCCTTTGTCCTCCTGCCTTGCTTTTAATCTCTTATTTCTCTCATTTTGTCCCCTAACCGCTTTTAAATTTTTTTTTTTTTCACCCTAGAGTAAAACTGCATACTGAAGGCTTATTTACT